GAACTGTATTATTGTTACTGTTCATGCAGGTGCCTGTGTCAGTTTGCAGTGAGAAATGTCCCCCAGGAACTCGCAAGGTTCTCCAGAAAGGAAAACCTGTCTGCTGCTATGACTGTATCAGATGTGCAGAGGGAGAAATAAGCAACACGACAGGTCTAGTAAAATTTAATAGCAGGTTCACAAAGGTGTTTGTTATTTTGTCCACCCATTTTATATCAGAGGCTAGGTTAAATAACACATACTTCTTTGTAACATACAGTGCAGTTCAACTGAAGCACAAACTATTAATGTCCATAATAATTAAATTTAATTTTATCACCTTCATGAAAGAGGATTTATCACAGAACTGCTGTTTTCAAACTGCATGAATTGCATGATTGGTGTACCTGGTAAACTGACATCTGTTTAAGTGTAAGTTAACTGTGTAACATTATTCACACTGTATCATTTATCTTTCATGCTAACAGGCTTTCAGTGTAGTAGGTCATCATGACAGTGAGACAGACGTTTGTGTTGGCAGACACTCACAACAAGTTAAACATGTTACCTTTAACAATCTTTAAGCCTATCTGGTTGATTATCCAAATAACTTTAAGAAGGTCGATGATCGACTTTGTGTCTTTTATCTTTTTCCCACATTCTTTACAGGATGAATTTTTTTTTTGCAAATAGGAGTTTTGCAGTCTTTCTATCCAAAACATCTGGTATTAATCCTCTCACCAATGCAAGTTGGCACAACTTGTTGTGGAATTTGTGTAGGAGTAACATGCCTGTAATTACAAATGTAGGGCTGGGAAAGTTATGTGTGGCCAGGTGTATGGTTTTCGGACCAACACATACAGCTCTAAAAAAAATGTGGATCCTATTTCCCGACTGCCCTTCCCCCAAATAATAGGACAGCATTCATTTTTGGTTGAAGTTGGTTTTACTTAACAGAAAGACTAAATAACAATCGTCAGTCCCCTCTCTTTTATAAATAAATGAAAAAAGGTAGGACTAATTAAGACCCAACCACGGTCCTGAACAAAAATAAGACAACAGTAGTGGACTTATTCCTAACAGCACAAAATAAACACTGCTGAATATACACTCAAATTTATCCATGCACAATCTGGTACAAGTATATCAACAGATAACTTTCCAGATACAATGTATTCAGACTTCACATTAGAAGCAACTCAAACTCACTTCAAGATGGCGGAATTCCTGTTCAGGTTGGAGTAAATACCCTGAACTTGTAGGCAGTGTTGTCTCCCCTCTGAACAAGCCAAATTCACAACGTTGTCAAATAACACAGAATTGCAACCTGTAACCCATAGAGACTTCATATAATTCCTATCAGCCGCTTTGTATTTTCCTGCATTTCTCTCTTTTTCTCCATCTTGGTCTCTGTTTTTTTCGCGGGGCACTCGCCTGTCACACAGTGATGACATCACAACAGATGCACCCTCATACAGGTGTGGGTGAGCACTGCATGTCTACAACTAGCATAGTGACACTCACTGGATACTTACTCAAACAACACCTTACAGCACCAGGGAGAGTTTCAGCTACTTCTCTTAGTAAAACTGTAATTTTATTACTTGACCTGGCTACACAAACACATGCTGTGATGGCTTAAAGAATTATAGAGTAAAACAGAAAATAAAAGAGAAAATAATATTAATTATGTTAGGAAATTCGAAAATCTAAAACTCATAAGACTATGTGGGACTCAAGTAGAAATAGAAAAAACAAATTTAAGAAAAGATTAATCTCCTGTGTATGTTTGACTTCTCGTTTCAACAAATTTTTCAGATTCTATCACCTGTGAGCAATGCCACCCTGAGTCCTGGTCCAATGACAGATAAGATGCCTGTGTAAAGAAGGAGGCAGAGTTTCTATCATATGAAGAAATTATGGGAGTACTGCTCACTGCAGCGGCCTTATTTGGAACATGCATGACTGCTGTTGTGGCAGCCATTTTCTTCACATACAGGACAACTCCTATTGTCAGGGCCAACAACTCTGAGCTGAGCTTCCTGCTGCTCTTCTCCTTGACTCTGTGTTTCCTGTGTTCTCTGACCTTCATCGGCCGGCCCTCTGAGTGGTCCTGCATGCTGCGACACACAGCATTCGGCATCACCTTTGTCCTCTGTATCTCTTGTGTTCTGGGGAAAACTATAGTGGTGTTAATGGCCTTCAGGGCTACACTTCCAGGCAGTAATGTGATGAAATGGTTTGGGCCTGCACAGCAGAGACTCAGTGTTGTGGCTTTCACTCTCATCCAGGTTGTTATATGTATCCTCTGGTTAACTATTTCTCCTCCTTTTCCATTTAAGAATTTTACCCAGTTCAAGGACAAAATCATCTTAGAGTGTGCTCTGGGATCAGCTGTAGGTTTTTGGGCTGTACTTGGGTACATAGGCCTTCTGGCCATCTTATGTTTTATTCTGGCTTTTCTTGCTCGGAAACTGCCTGATAACTTCAATGAGGCCAAATTGATCACCTTCAGCATGCTGATATTCTGTGCAGTCTGGATCACTTTTATTCCAGCATATGTCAGCTCTCCTGGGAAGTTCAGTGTAGCTGTAGAGATATTTGCTATTCTGGCCTCCAGTTTTGGACTGCTCATTTGTATTTTTATTCCAAATGTTATATTATCTTACTGAAACCAGAGACTAATACAAAAAAAAATATGATGGGGAAAGGAGCATCAAAGTCATTTTGAAAACATAAAATAATATGATAGCAAAGGCATTATAACTTTTATATAATTTTTTAGGCAAACGCTCAATAGTCACCTGTTTTCATTTTATTGAGGAGAGTACCTCTAACATTTTCCCACTGTACTGTATGTGATTTCATTGACATAACATATGGAGATGACAGTATTTTCTGCAACGTACACAACTAGTCAAAAGTATGGACACACTTTCCCATTTGATTCTTTGGGTAATGTGTCCAAAACATTTGACTGGTAGTTTAATATAAGTACAGCTTAATATCTAACTCCTTTCTGATTTAATAACATTTAGTACAGTTTATAATCTTCCAAAGAAAGAATAACATCCACATTTTTCCTAAATAAAAACATGTTTGCCTTCTTTTCTTTCCTCTGGTGGCCTGAGGCTTGAGGTAAACCATGACAACCATGACATCCCTCTTGTTGTCAAAGGTGTATAAAGCCCTGCTGTAAGTTGTAGAGCTGATTCACCTGTCATGTAAAAAAAGAAAAAAAAGCAGAGGCATGTTGTTGTTGAGTTTGTTCTTCTTGCTTCTTGCAATGGGGCAGGGAGAGTTTGTGTGCCAGCTGCGAGGCTTAGTACAACGACCTGAACTGGCCCAGGATGGGGATTTTGTTATTGGAGGCATATTTTCATTTCGCACAGGACAGGATTATGTAACACATAAAACACATTTCAGACTATTCCAGAAATACGAAAATGCAACAAGTATGTAATGTCATACTAGTACATTTTAAATGGGTTGTTTCTCTGTATTTTGTACTGTATTTGAGAAATTAACATGTATACAAATCAGTCTATGCTGTGGCCCATGCTCTCCACAACCTGGTCACATGTGAGGAGAAGAAAGGCCCTGTTTACAATGAGAGCTGTGTTCTGACTAAACACATTGAACCGTGGCAGGTGAGGAAGCACCAGTTAAGTGTGACAAAGTAACAACAGCCGTAATCTGTTGTTTAACACTCGTATGTATATATATTTTTTGCTAGGTTCTGCAATATCTCAACACTGTGAATTTCACAACTAAGGAAGGAGAAAGAGTTTATTTTGACAATAATGGAGACTCACCAGCGACATACGAACTTGTTAATTTACAAATGACAAACAAAGACACCATGGAAGGAGTAACAGTTGGCATTTATGATGCTTCTCTTCCAGAGAGTCATCACTTTATCATGAATAACAACCCTGTTGTCTGGGGAAACGAACTGACCAAGGTAAAACAGATTTCTGGTTGGACTTAATTGATTTACTTAAAGTTGTTTGAAAAACCTTAATATTGATGTTGAGCATTATAATTTTGATGCATACTTAAATGTACATATCGCTTAAATTGCATACAAATTGTTTATATTTTGTTTATATGTGTAGGATGTGCCTGTGTCAGTCTGCAGTCAGAGCTGTCTGCCAGGAACTCGCAAGGTCCTCCAGAAAGGAAAGCCCATCTGCTGTTATGATTGCATATCTTGCCCAGCAGGCGAGATTAGTAACTTAACAAGTAAATAAACTATGTACCAGTGTTTAATTTGCTATGTGAAAACTATAGAAAACTATAATGTGGTTTTATGATTGTTGACCTCAAATAATAACAGTGATTTAACTTCACACATCTTTATTTTGCTTTTCATTTGCAGATTCAATATACTGTTTGAAATGCCCAGCGGAGTACTGGTCCAACAAACAAAGAGATGCCTGCATCCCCAAAGAAATAGAATTCTTGGCATATGATGAACTCCTGGGAACACTGTTAGTCTTGTTGTCATTACTAGGAGTTTTTCTATCTATGATCATAATACTAGTTTTCTACTACCACAGAGAAACCCCAATAGTGCGAGCCAACAACTCTGAGCTGAGCTTCCTGCTGCTCTTCTCCTTGACTCTGTGTTTCCTGTGTTCTCTGGCCTTCATTGGCTGGCCCTCTGAGTGGTCCTGCATGCTGCGACACACAGCATTCGGCATCACCTTTGTCCTCTGTATCTCTTGTGTTCTGGGGAAAACTATAGTGGTGTTAATGGCCTTCAGGGCTACACTTCCAGGCAGTAATGTGATGAAATGGTTTGGGCCTGCACAGCAGAGACTCAGTGTTGTGGCTTTCACTCTCATCCAGGTTGTTATATGTATCCTCTGGTTGACTATTTCTCCTCCTTTTCCATTTAAGAATTTTACCCAGTTCAAGGACAAAATCATCTTAGAGTGTGCTCTGGGATCAGCTGTAGGCTTCTGGGCTGTACTTGGGTACATAGGCCTTCTGGCCATCTTATGTTTTATTCTGGCTTTTCTTGCTCGGAAACT